TTTTTCTGGATCACTGGTCATGATCATATCATAAGCTGTAAATCAATATAATAATACATGTATTTATTATTTAATGACATATAAAAATATAGAAATAATCAGAGAGCAGGTTAGTGATTTTTGTGATAGTTTTGCTTCAGATATAGGCAAGTAAATAAATGTTCATACTGGATTGCAATATAAAATGCATATTTTTCCACATGCTGTGGTTAAAAGTGTTTGAAAGTCAGATTTCACACCAGTTGAATGACATAAAAAAAGAGTTGACAGCATGAGTGTTTTAAAAATGTTCATTATCAACTCAAGCAAATACATTTACAAGACATTGTCTGGGTTTTGTAACCAAAACCCTTCAGAAAAATTATCCCTTCCTCTTCTCATATTCTTTGTCTTTCAGTTTTACACACAGATTGGGCAGAAATCAGCAGCCAGGCATGAGAAACCATACAGCTCTAAACACATTCATCCTCCTGGGACTGACCGAAGACCCACGACTGCAAATTCTGATTTTTATATTTCTACTGATTGCCTACATGTTGAGTGTAACTGGAAACCTGACCATCATCTTCCTGACATTAGTAGATATCCACCTGAAAACTGCCATGTACTATTTTCTCCAAAATTTCTCCTTCTTAGAAATCTCATTCACCTCTGCCTGCATTCCTAGATTCCTATACAGTATATCAACAGGTGACAGGATCATTACTTATAATACTTACCTAAGCCAATTGTTTTTGTCATACCTGTTTGGAATAACAGAATTTTTCCTCCTGGCCACCTTGTCCTATGATCGGTATGTGGACATCTGCAAACCCTTGCATTACTTGACCATCATGAACCACAGTGCCTGCAAAACGCTTATCTTGGGCTGCTGGATAACTACTCTGTTGATCATATCCCCATCCTTTATCCTTGGACTCGATCTGGAATTCTGTGATTCTAATGTCATTGACCACTTCTTCTGTGATGCTGATCCTCTCCTGAAGATCTCATGCACAGATACGTGGATCATAGAGCTGATGACTCTTGTGGGCTCTGTGTTGATCTTCATCATGACTCTTGTGTGTGTGGTGTTGTCCTACATGTATATCATCAGAACAATTCTAAGATTCCACTCTGCCCAACAAAAGAAAAAGGCCTTTTCCACCTGTTCTTCCCACATCGTTGTGGTTTCCATCACCTATGACAGCTGCATCTTTGTCTATTTCAAACCTTCAGCAAAAGATGAAATGGCCATTAATAAGGGGGTGACAATACTAACTACTTCAATTTCCCCCATGTTAAACCCATTTATTTACACCCTGAGGAACAAACAATTCAAAAAAGCCTTTAATAACTTAGTCAAAAGAATTTTATTATTCTCAAAACATGAGAGAAATAATGACATCAACATTAATCCTATTTTCTTAAGTTTCCCTCCTATTTTGTCTCTTCCTGATCTAAATTTGACATTGTATTCAATACCATGCATAATCAACTCATTCCTTGCTTCTCCTTATAAACAAACCTTTTTGAGAATGATAACCTTCAGTAAGAAAATATGAGAATGGTTGTTTCAGGAAATCTAAGCATGACCTCACTTTCA